ATACAATATTTGAGTTCAGAGAAGTACAAAAAAAATGGTAGAGCAGCCAAGACTCCTAGGGCCTCATCTGTACAGACTGCACGTACTAGTAAGAGGAAGGTAGAAAAAGAGGAGGATGAAGCAGATTCAGAAGAAACAGAGGAGGATGAGCATTATATTGAAGAAGGAGATAACTCTGACGATGATAGCCTCGACTCTGATGCATATGATGAGGCTTGCCCTATTGATATTCCTTCTGATGATGATGATGATGATGATGATGAATGATGACGACGACTGAAGACTCTTGCCTCTTGGTGCTGAGTGTTCACTGTTGACTGTTGTGTCGAGTCATGAGTGTTGACTTTTGTTAGACTGTATATTTCCTAAATTTCTGTATATTTCTGTTGTGTTGAGTGTTGACTTTTATATCCTACACACTTGTATGGTTTTACAGTTTACTGTTTTAACAATATAGATTATGAAAATTCTCTTCTCGATGTCCACCTTTTTCTTTTTTTTTTTCAACTTGGATTTGGAATATTGTATATTGGTAATTTGGTATAATGGTATATTTTTTTCAACTGGGCAGTCGCCCAGGTTCTGGGCGCCCACCTAGGGGCTGGGCGGCTTGGACACACCCCAGGCCGCCTAGGACCAGCCTAGTGCTTTTTGATACACGAGTAACATAAACCATGCCCCTCATATTATGTGACACCTTTCCGGACAATATTCCATTTCAATGGTGTAATATATTCTATGGTTTCCATACCCAGAATATACGTTCCTAAAGAGACCACTACACTATGCAAAATGAACAAATATAGCACAGCTACAAGGATCAGATTGCAACATGAAGGCATAATAAGAAAAATCGAAAAGGAAACATCGTCTTAAGACAGTCGAATCAACATTCTATATCATGTAAAGAAAACTGCCTTGTACGATGCTTTGCTTCAAATTCAAGATCAACATTACAAACCTTTTACTTAGTTGCAGCAGATAGAGATGTTTATCCTCTTTCAGTATCCTCCAAAGGGCGACCCATGCAGAGGATCTCAAATGAAAAATTTATGAGTGCCAAATCACAGACCAAGATCAGTGGTAGCTTTACTTGCGCATTCACCACAGAGATTTTAATAAATTTCTGTCAATTTAAGGGAAGATATATACTATAATCAGGCAGATAGCCTGCCTTTACCAGGTGATGAAATTAAACTTAAAATTAACAAGCCAAAAATGGCAAGCATGAAAAGATATGTACTCACCTGTCCAAGAAGCAGATCACACACATAGACTCCCATTGTCTGCATTCGATCATATGAACCCAGAGAAAATTCCTGGGGGATATTGAACCAGTGATCAGATGGGAAGTGACATGCACATCCCTCTACATGTATCAATTAGGAGTGAAGAACCTTAAGTGAAGTACACATCCCTCTACATGCATCAATTAGGAGTGGAGAATCTTAAGTGAAGCTTACATCCCTCTACATGCATCAATTAGGAATGAAGAATCTTAAGTATAAATCTGTCAACATGCCAATTAGGAGTGAATCTGTGTGTGTGTGAGCATGCACACATGTGCAGGTTCAAATATGTAGATGTTTGCACCCAATATTTTCTAAAGATTCTGCTGAATGTTCTCTGCTAAATCATTCCCACCATTCACTGAAGAAAACTAGATTCATATCATCATCATCATCCAAGCCTTAACCCATATTTGGGGTTGGCTACATAAATCATGTTCTGTCATTCTACTCTATCAAGGGCCATACCCTCAGTCAAACCATAAATAACAAAGATTCAGGATTCATGAAAAGATGTAGCAGAGTTTTAAGCTGGCTGCGCTACCTAACACAACCCCTCCTCGATTATTTGAGCTTGGGACCAGTATGACCAGCTTGGGACTGGCCATGGTGGAGTTGACAAGTAGATTCATATACTTGCTAACAAATTGTCAAACTATTCAGACAATTTGTTGAGGAACAGTTATAAAACTTGTATTTTTCCTAAAAGAATTTACAAGCAATAGAAGATCAGTCAAATTTGGCATCAAAATGCCACCGAACTCAAAGAACTAGGCAACATATGACCTTAAAAATGTAATGCCACCAATAAGGATGATGCACGCAACTGTCTTACTAGAACACCATTTCGAGATGATTAAACAGTACATGTAACAAACTTATTGCAAGCTAACAAGATACCATCCTCAACTTGCTGCCCAATGGTCAAAAAAAGGGGGGGAAAAGAAAAAAAGAACTTAAAGTTCCCAAGTTTTTTACGTCAATTACGCATAGATAAGACTGAGCATTGTTTAATCCCAAATCCCACTTCAACCTAATTCACATAACCAAACACCATTTCTTCTCACAAATGAACAGGTTGTCCATTCATATGGTACTCTAACATAGATAACAAATATTTGCTAAGTTGTAGAACTTTTACTTTTTTGACAGGCATAGAATTTGTAAAATATTGCAAATATTTTAAAGGAACTTGTGGATTAATAGAAACGTTGGGCCATTATATAGTTTCCCTATCAATTCAAAATTAAAACATTGTGTTTAACATATTTCAAGCTCACTTCATATGCATTTTTAAACATCTCTAAAAATTACCACGGTCATGGACACACTTGAGAGAAAAAATATGGTGAATATCAATTTTGAGAAATATGTGTGTGTGTGCACACAGTAAAATCTACAGTAAATTTGTCAAATATTGTGACACATAACAAATTAAATCACCCATGTTAAATTTCTTAGGAATTCATTTGCTTCTTCGAAAAGCAAGACATAATCTACTATTCATACAATAAAATCTACAGTAAATTTGTCACAGTGAGATGCATAACAAATTAATCACCGATTTTAAATTTCCTAGAAATTCATTTGCTTCTTTGAAAAGCAGGACATAATCTACCATTCAAGGACATGGCATACAAGTTCATAACAAAACTATGTCAACAAATTGTTTGGCTTCATGAACTCCTTTGGCACTCTCAAACTGTTCGTATGCTCATAACATCAGTGCTACTCCAGTATCCTGGGTTGCAGAAAACACACCAAAAACAAGCAAGTGCATTACTACCAAGAGATAGAATCTCCCATCAGATATTATTAACCTGCCTCTGCCCCTCATATACCATCCAAACATCGAAGCAAATCTTATCATCAAGTAGATGAGGATGGTTAGACCTGTTTACCAATTTGGTATACGATTGGGTAGCACTCTTCTATTTCAAACTTAATGGGGTATGATATAACTGCCGTGCCATTGGGGATCCCATACAGTGCAAGCTTAATGAGGAGATATTAAATAGATGGTTGTATATAAAAAAGGGTAATATGGTTATATTGAACCTGAACCTTCGATCTCACTTTTTCACCATGAGGTTGTTGTAGATACTAGCACAGCAGAACTATTTTAATGTAGTGCAAGGATGTATATGATAGAGATTAAGATTGATTTAGGCAATCATTATATTTCATATCCCATTTAGATGCTTTATATACCAGATTGGTCTTGAATGTACACCTCAATTTTTTAAATGATGCCATCAAATAAAAAACTCAGATCTCTCCATAACAAAGAAGATTTGATTCATGTGATGTATCAGCTCTGCAATAACTCTTCCAACAAGTATATTTATAGAGGTGGAAGATCATCGTGTAGCTATAAAGAAAGCTTGCAACTCCTAAACAAAATAAATTTATCTTTATAAGAACTAATGGAGAATTGATCCACATCTCATACATACTGAGCAACGAAAAGCATATTAACAATATCAATAGAATGGGTACCTCTTCATCTTTGACGTAGGGCTAGAACCAACCCCATAAGGTCTTTGGCTCTGCAGCATAATGCAGGTAGAGGAAACCAATCTGCATATATGAGCACCTGTAACTTAGAAACTACAATCTAGACAATACACCATCATAATCATATGCATAAAATAGCAATACTATAATTATCGACAAGTAATGTTATACATATTTATACCAATGAAATTGAACAAAACTGGGCAAGCCAAATTATCAGAAGCACTCCCTTGAAGGAGCTCAGGGAAGGACAATGAGGAATGGACACCGCCACTGCAATGGATGGAAAGGAGAACAAGTATGACCCGTCTGCTAATGGCCTCACTCGAGCTGAGGTTCCTTCCAAAAATCCTTAGCCCATCTATCTACTCCTTTGTGGTCTTGGCGCTGGGGTGGAAGACGCCGACCAGAGAGGATTTGTACAGGTTAGGGAGGTTGGGGCCAGAAGAGGTGGGGAGGGAGATGAGGGGTGGCATCTTATCTTAGGGCCAACTATGGGGACCATGTTGATATTCAAGAATACTACACATAGTTTTGACAGATTTACCTGGATATTCTATATGATTTTGACAGCCTATTTTGGACAGGTTGAACAGCCTCTTATACAAGTTAATTCCAGGTGTATGGTGTATGAAATAGTGTCATATGTACAATGTCTTAGTGCTTCTTAGGCATACTATGACTCAGTTATCCATATGTCTATCATGTCTTTTCTTTTTCACATAAGTTGGGATCTGAAAGTGGCATTCAGCCCTCAGCTCATGATCAAAATTCCATAAAAAACTTGTTGAACAGGGGCAAGGCTGTCCTAAAACTTCTGGCACAAAGCAACACAGCAGTGATATGGGCCCGGGGGCTACTCTTGTCCCAAATCAGCCACTGCCCTACGGTCTCATCTTTTGTCAATGGTATATCTAGCCACTTCACCCGCTCTCCAGATAAGGATTGCAGAGTGAGTAATAATGCTCTGCCTAGCCTGTTTTTGGCCAGGGAAAAAAGAAGAGTGTTTTGACTGGGCAAAAACACTATAGGGTACAAAATGTGCAATCAACCATCATCCCCATTTTATAACATTCAACAATTCCAGTGCATGTTTAGACCCAAATCTTTAAACAGATATTTAACAGATTAAATCATAGTGCATGGAAATTTAGGAGACAAGGGTTTCAAGAGTGTATGAGAGATATCACATTATCCTTAAAAGGGCAATTAAATATATTTACAATTTCAATCATGTGGACTGATTTCATATACACAGATCAGCCCATATTAAATTACATTTATGGCTTTACCAAAAATAGATTACAATAATACGTAGCATGCAGACAATGACAAAAATGCCCCTGTACAACCACCAGTATGACCACTGCTCCATACACCATTTATGTGATAGCATTAGACCGAAGCCCGCCTCACCATTTAACGTTTATGTAGCTTTCTGGCAAGATTCACTCTTCTAGAGAACATGAATTAAATATTGTACCTGTATAGGGAAAATTCCCTTTTCGAACATGCTAAGGACCAAATTTACAGCGTTATCAGCTAAACCCAAGTCATAAAGGCCATTATGTGGGAGCATAATTTTACTTTTTTCAATAATATGCTATGGCATTTTAAATTCAGCCTTTTTGGCATCTCTCCTCTAACAAACTCTTCAATTCTTCCAATCTCCCACACCTGCAAAGGCCATATATGAGTGCATTGTTCATGACAATATCAGGGTGACACCCTCTTTTTTCCATTTCTTTACATAATTCCAAGGCTCTTTCCACACTATCAGCCTTTAAGAGAACGATTATAAGAGTGGTATATGTAACAACATCTGGGTTAATGCCATTGTGGTACAATTTGTCCAACAGCTCCATTGCCTCCGTCATTCTTCCATTCTTGCAAAGACCATCTATAAGTGTGTTATATGTTACAATGTTTGGCGGACATCCTCTTCTTCCTATATCATTGTGTGATGACAAGGTTTCTTCCCCATTATTGGCATTGTTAAACCTGTTATACTTATACATGACAGAATCTTGGCTTATGTCATAAAACAATTTTACTGCCTCCTTTAATCTCCCATTCTTACAAAGACCATCAATGAGTGCATTATAAAAGATGATGTTTGGTTGACACCCACTTTTTCTCATTCTTTTGGATAATGCCAAAGCTCCCTCCACATTATTGGCTTTACAGAATATGTTAATAAGAGTGGTATACGTAACAACATTTGGATCCATGCCAATATGGTACATCTCCTCTAACAAAGTCAATGCCTCGTCTACTCTCCCACCTCTGCTAAGACCATCTATGAGCGTATTATACGTAATAACATCTAGATAACACCCTCTCCTCCTCATTTCTTCGCATAATGCGAAGGCCTCTTTTACTTTATGAGCTTTGCAAAGCCCATTTACGAGAGTGTTATATGTAACAACATCGGGGTACAGACCACTCTGGTGCATCTGAAAGAAAAAAGCTATTCCCTCTTCTATTTTCCCAACTTTGCTAAGACCATCTATCAATGTGTTGTATGTGACAACATTTGGGTGAAACCCTCTCTTTCCCATTTCTTTATGTATTGCCAAAGCATCTTCCACTTTATTGGCTTTGCATAGCCTATTTATCAGAGTGTTATATGTAACAACATTTGGGCTCAAGCCATTGCTGTACATCTCCTCTAACAAAGCCATTGTCTCCTCCATTCTCCCAACCTTGCCAAGATAATTTATGAGTATGCTGTAGATGGCAACATCAAGGTGACACCCCCTCTTTCTCATTTTCTTGCATAATTTCAAGGCTTCCTCTACCTCATTAGCTTGGCAGAGCCCATTTATAAGAGGGATAAGTGTGAATTTATCTACTTTCAGGCCAATGTGACGCATTTCCTCCAACAAAGCCACTGCCTCCTCCATTCTCCCAGCATTGCTAAGACCATCTATCAGTGCGTTATATGTGACAATGTTTGGGAAACACCCTCTTTTCCTCATTTCTTTCGATACTGCCAACGCTCCACTTGCATTGTTCATTTTGCGGAACCTGTTTATAAGAGTAGTATATGTAATAACATTAGGTTTCAAGCCACTTTTGCACATATCCTCTAACAAACCCATTGCCCCCTCTACTCTCCCATCCTTACAGAGGCCATCAATGAGTACATTATAGGTAACAACATTCAGCTTACACCCTATCTTCGCCATTTTTTGGTATAATTTCAGAGCCCCTTCCACATCATTGGTTTTGCAGAGCCTGTTTATAAGAGTGGTATAAGTAACAACATCGGGGTTCATGCCATTATGGTACATCTCCTCTACCAAACCCGCCGCCTCCACTATTCTCCCACCCTTGCAAAGGGCATCAATGAGGGTGTTACACATTACAATATTTAAACACAACCCTCTCTTCGCCATATCTCTGTACAAATCCAGGGCTTCTTCCACCTTATTGATTTTACAGAGCCCATTCAAAAGAGTGTTAAAAGTAACAAAATCAGGCCAAATTTTTTGGTTTTCCATAGCACGGAGGAGCTCCATGGCCCCTGCAACCCCCCCCTCCTTGCAAAACCCTCCTATCACAATTGTCAATAAGGTAACAGAGAGAGGATAACCTAATTTCTGAATAAGACCAACAACACCAAGTGCGAAACGGGTTTTACGCGAGCCGCAAAAACAATCAACTAAGGTGTGGAGGATGTAAACATCATGTGACAGTTCCAGTTCAGCCATGGATGCATAAAGACACAAAGCCAATTCTTGCTGGCCAGCTCTAGAGAGAGCCAGAAACAAGAAATTGCAAGTGGAAAGAGAGGGCTTGGAGCATGAATGGAGCATACCTTTGAAGAGAGAGACTGCTTCTTCCAACCCACCATGGTTCCTCTTACAGAGAGCTCGAATACGAATCTCTAACTCTCTTGGTTCAATGGGATCAGAATCCCCAATCTCATCAAGTACAGCAGAAGAGAAGTAGGGCAGAGCCTGCGAAGAGCGAGAAGAGGACAGAGACTGTGAAGAGAGAGAAAAGGGGCAGGGTCGTGGTAATTTACATAGGATCCTCTCCAGGGCGGGCATGAGCTAGGGTTCCACGAGTTTCTCGTATAAAGAGATCGATCTCTCTCTCTCTCTAGTCTATGTTCATGGATTTCTCGCGCGGGCATTCAATTTTATTTAGCGCTCTCTCTCTCTAAATTCAGGCATTCAATTTTATTTAGCTCCCTCTCTCTCTCTAAATTCAGGCATTCAATTTTATTTAGCGCTCTCTTTCTCTACATTTCAGGCATTCAATTTAATTTAGTGCGCTCTCTCTCTAAATTCAGGCATTCAATTTTCTTCAGCTCGCTCTCTCTCTAAATTAGGCAATTCAGTTTTATTTAGCACTCTTTCTCTCTCTCTCCGAATTCAGGCATTCAATTTTACCTCTTTATTTATGTAGTATGGTTATTGGAGTGTTGGTTTTTTTTTTTTTGACAATTATTATCCTTTTTATATATATATATAAAGTACACGAATGGATTGCTGTTGGGTAATGAAAAACATTTATTATAGTGGAAATAAATTCAGTAGGAGTGTAGTCTCTCGAGAATCATACTAAGTAAATGATGTTTACTGATTCCGGACTGTGCTTGACGATCTAAGTCAGTTGGTTGGAAAACCCAAAGTATCTCGGTATAAAGAATAAATTGAGAAGAGTTTTAGATTAGCCCTTGATAAGGTCGGAGCTTATGTCTGGATGAGTAAGCTGAGGGACTGTGTAACTCTTGTGTATGATGGTAGGCCTACAGCGACGAGGGCCAAATCCTCATCAATGTTCCATCACACGGCATGCATATCGATAGATTGTTCGGGAAAGTCAGTTATCCACCTCTGGATGAAGCGTATGCACGTACGAGAGAGATACCCCTATGCACCATAGAGCTGTGGGCGCATCAGGTCGTGGTGACCTTGACTCGTCTCTAAGGGGGACGTGTAATCTACAGACTGGGATTGCGACCCCTTGGCTCATCGGCCAGACTTTGGTGACCCGTTAATGAGCCATTGCTGGGACTGTGGGTCATGGGAAACACTGAGTCGGTTTGATAAAACAAGTGTGGTCTGTAGTCCATAGTTGAAGGTGGAGTACCCCATGATCGTTGATAGAAGATCAATTTCCCACCATTTTAATTTAATTGTGTTCATTTTATTATAGAAATTATTTAGATTTATTATTTGAATTTTTATTAATCCTTTAAAATATTTTATTTGTGATTTTTTAATTTATAAAAATAAAGTTATTGATTTTACAAAGTTATAAAAATTCAAATAAAAGTTTTAAAAATTATTTTTGTTATTTTAAAATTACATGAGGGCCCATAGTGCACATGAGCCCACCATATGACATGTGGGTGGGGACCATAGGTGCCACATGACGGTGGCACGCACTACCCATTGGATTCTCTTTTTGTTTCTTTATGTTCAAGAAATTTGTATTATGGAAAGTATGTTTTAAGGGATATGGTCAATTTGGGTATATAATAAACATTGACCCTATCTTATTTAAATATAGAAGCATATATTAACTTGATAATATTTGACATATGCTTATGGAATATATGAGATGGAACATGCTACTTTATGAAATGAATAATA